TATATTATATACATTTATTTATAAAAAATATATTGTTTTTCCAAATCTTTTTTAGAAATAAATTCAATATATGAAAATTTCGCATTAAAACTACGTTTTCTCTTTTATGTTTAAAGAATTTAAAAGGTATACATTTTTATAGAAAAGATACTTCTTTCTCTTTTCCTCTTTTAAATATAAATTAAATAATGATATATACGCAAACAAAAATAATAAAAATATGAAATTTAAAAATTCTATCTGAAAACTTTCAAGAAAAAGGAAAATCTTTTTCCTGCATAAAGAAAGTGAACTGAAGACGGAAGAGGGAGAGGCATTAAAGTTCACCAATACCCGCATGATAGACTCGAGGGGCTTATTCCGGCGGAGATACCTCTCGAGGACCAGCGACGATCATTAAAAGTTTAAACGGCTTCCATTGAGGTGAACGGCAGCAGATCCGACACTCTAGAAGTCCGTCGCGCTCGCACCGATTGCTTTGATTTCTCCGGCTTTTCTCGAAGGGAAAGGGAAAATCCGAACCGTCGAAGGAAGGCACGTAGACGTCACTTCCTAGCGTTTACGCACAATACGGGCATAGTAGATAGTGACTTCGTGTGCCCGTAATGTAAACACATACCTTGAGGACGTTTTTCGACCCTCGATCTCTCAACTTTGACGTTATCAACGATCTCGTACGAAGTACTTTTAATAGACGTAACAACTAGCAGTGAACATTCGAATACTTAAAATTAATGTCCATTAATTAAAAAAAAAAATGAATTAAATGCGAGAATGAGATTGAATGCTATTTATTTATAACGACGTCACGTATTTACAAGCTGGCATGTAATATCATAAATAATAATTAGGCAATGAATGTCTATTAGTTGAGAGAAGAAATAAATGAATAAGATATTGTAATAAGAATACTTTTTAAGGGATAAGTATCAATTAATTTGAAGGAAAAATGGAACTGAGTGAAATCAAATGTCAGTGTTAGTAAAATCACGAACTCCAATCAGCGACAATAATTACGTTGATAATTAATGTTATATTATCGATACCCTTGAGAGATTGTTTGCTTTCTAGAACATGTATTGGCTTATTATCGATAAATTGACGAGCTCATTGCGACATATTTGTCGAGTATCCCCAATCGGTTTGGATTTGATTGCAGTCGATTGCACCGCGTGAGAGGTCGAAATCCTGGATGAAGATAAATGGGTGAGATTTTCTCGACCAACGAGCAGATCGAACTGTCGTCCCGTCGTAAAAGCTTTTGTTGACCGAGCAATGATGAGGATCGCTATAAAATAGTAATTTTTGGGGATCAATTGGATTTCGATGTTCCAACGTGAAATTGGTAAAGTTTTGTCGACCGAGCAGCGATCGAAGATTAGAATGGAGTAACAATCTCCGAGATTTGAGTCGGCTTAGGTATAGATAGATATCTGCTCTAACCAGAATTTTTGTTGACCAAGCAATGAAGATTGAAAACGACTTCCGATATCTCAGGTGGCTTTCATCTTGATATTTCAATCTTGAAAATTTTCGTTGACCTAAAAATTATTTGAATCTGAACGTCTTTCTGCAAGGATTAGAACAGAGAGATTGAAGTAAATTGAACAATCGATCAAAATACATAGTCACGGCATAATACCGTTTGTATCCCTGTCAGAGAATAACGCGAACTGTACACGTGTCCACGGATAGGGGCGTGGGAATTGATTTGTACTGCCAAGAGCTGTTATACCACATGTTTACTAAGACGAGCAGCTCGGTTCTCGTAGCTCGGTTACTGTTGCGAAACCAGGAATACAGGCACTTCGTAGCAGAGCCGAGGGATATTTAGACAAGTTCGGTTGTCTTCGCAAACTCCGTCCGATCCTACGAAGACGGTTATGCCACTAAGGATGCCTCCGAAGTCAATTTTGACTATGCATCAATCGGAGTTTGGCTTGTATACAAATATAGTAAAGCCTTTAGTACGAATTCTCTTGATATTCTATCTTTGATATAAACGATCGAGCTATATAATACTTTTTTAATACTAATAAATATGTTTTTGTTTAAATGCTTCTTTAAGAAGAAGAAATATTTTATTCGAAGATCATTTTATTCGAAATAATAAATTATATAATACTGTTAGATATCTTAAAGATGGCAACTCAATCTTTTAAATTAAAAAAACAAACTTTTGTTATTTTTAACTTCCGTGTGTGTCAAAATGTAAATCAATCCTATGATTAGTTTTAAAACGAACAACGTCCATATTAATGTATGCAATTAGTAAATGATAAACTAATTTTAAGTCGAAATTATGGGTCAATTCTAAACAGAACTCGTAAGACTCATAACGTGTTCTCGTAAAACTTATAAGAACTTATGACTAATGTTCTAATTTTATGCGTATGTATTGTGAAACGTACGATTATTAAATATCTATGATTTCTTGTAAATTTTATGGCTAGTAAGAAACTGTAAAAATATTGTATAAAGATATTGTATAAGCACTTAAAAATTCTTACAAGTCTTATAGGAATATGTTAACAGCCTTACAATTCTGCTTAGGATTTAGGCATTAGTTTATTTACAGATATTAATAAATTTATATATTGTAATATATTTTCTTGAGTTAAATTCTTCAACTTCAGTTAAATTAATTTATTCAGTTTTAATCAATTAAATTAATAACATATCGACTAAGAGCAGTACTACAAAAATAATTAAAAATAACTTATATTGAATACAATTTGACATGAATTTAACAGTGAAAAGAGAAATTGAGTTAAAATAAATATTACTTTAATGTCTTTTATTACGGATAATTTGCTATGAGAACAAAAGATATTTAAATATCTTCTTTCAGTATGTTTTATTAATTATAAACGTAAACATAGTGCGTAATATTTTCGCAAACGAGTTTATACGAAAAAAAAAGTGGGATAATTTCTTTGAGAATTCGAGGTACGACATTCGATCCCAGGCGTCGTAAAGCATTGCGATTTTATCACATGGGTCCAAAGCCTGCTTGCCGACTCGTCTCCACCTCTTCAAGATTTATTATGGCTCTCAGCATTCGAAGGAAGACAATGAGGGCGTCTTTTCTTCTGCACATGCGCACGCGCGCGATCCAACGAATCGCTATAAATCGCGAGCCCTTATCGGCTTCGACCGTCAACTGGCGATCTTAACGGCGCCAAAATCTATGGACGTCGGAAAGTTAGACGGGCCCCAGTTTCCCAAAGTGATACGACCACTGGGAAGAGAGAGGTCTCACCCTCTCACCTTACCCTGGTTATACGGTATTCTGTCTCCGTTCCCGTTATCTTCCTCTATCCACTTTACGTACACGATGTGTTCCCATGAGCTCGTTATCTCGATGGATAATACGACGTGCATCTCGAACAATCAAGATTCGTATTACCTATTGTAAACACGGATATCACATGATAATTGTGATATAAACGAATGAATAAGAATCGATGACTTGAAGCGATATTGTCAGCGAAATTGTCAGATAAAATACGAGATATTTAAGGAGTTGTATATTGTTTCTAAACTATAAAATTGTATATGGTGACGCAACTGTAATTTAATAATAACTTTCTCACCTTCTTGTTCCAGCGACTTCAACGACCTTACACCGGCTCCGGCTCCACCAGAATGGCGTCAGAGTCCAGTAGGAACTACTTGCGCTTCTCGCCCAGCCCTCCTCAGGGAACAAAAGGACCTGCAACAAAGAGTAAGTCATGTTTTGAATATTTCATCGTCTTCCATTAAAAAATTTCAAATGTACTCGTAACATCAAAAACACTGCACTGAGAAGAAAGTCTACTTAAGTGAACTGCGATGTAACTTTTATTTAATAAGATACATCGAGTTTATCAAGCAAACTGTATGCTGATGCAATTTTATTAATGCATCATAATTGTCATAATTATAATATCTTTATTGACAAAACATGTCACATTAATTACGTAACTTACTTCATTGATTTTATTTTCAGTTGAACGTATTTTGTTCCACCAAGCAATTCTTTCTTCTCGGTGTAGGATAATAGAACGCGGAACGTCGATAGTAAGCTCGCTCGAGATGCTATAGCACTCTCAAATAAAGTAGACGGGATTGGAAAAAAGGCTTCGTCGGGACTTCTTCGTGGCGCTTCGACGAGTTCGAGGCTTCCCAAGGAAGATTTGTTGGAGTTCCTCTGCAGAAGGAGGAGGACGCCTTTCCGTCGAACGTATCCCTTCGCGAGAGAAAAAAAAACTCTCGACCTTCTTCCATCCCATGCATCCCACCGCGGTGATCCGGTTTCCGCTCTTCGGCTTTCCCGAACCTCGGCTATGTGACCGAAATATTGAAACCACACACCGAGCGCTGTTTCTGCCTCCCTCGCGACGAAGAGGAAAGAATCGCCGCGTCATGTCTTTCTCCTCCTTTTACAGTTCCTTCACACGCGATACAGACATTCGTCATCTCGAGGATTTTCTATCCCGCAAACGTGGATAAATCGCTCTTTAATCGATACACATATCTCATGAGAAACATGTTGTTCTTCTTTCGCTTGACAGTTTGGCAGAAACTGATGGATGGATGAAACTTAGTTCGATTCCAATGCCGATTTCTTGTTAACAAAGTTGTAGAAATTTAAATTTTCTAAATATTTATAACTACATTGAAAACAAAAGATTGGCTGCTGCAGCCAATTAAAAATGTTATGCCATTTTACCATTTACTGCAGTAGCTAATCTTTTCTTTCAGTGTACTCTTTTAGAGTGAGAATTTTTTAGAATGAGATTTTACTCTAACAATAAAAAAGTATTACGTACGTATTCATCTTTCAGTATTTTTAATATAATATCTTCATGAGAAATTAATAAAATAATATTATCCCAGAAGTTATGTGAAATTCCAGGATTTTGCTGCAAATCCAATATTGAATCACATACCGAGGTAAATATTTCGCTTTATCAACATAAACCATTTCGCTTCTTCATTACTATTACCTGGCATCTGCAAAGTTCTCTTGGCAACAGTTTTGCTGGCACCCCAAATATTCCGCGAGATAACCATACATTTCCGTCGAAATTACGATACGTCGTAAATTGCCATCTGTCAGCAAGAATGCACCTTCTTCTTCCCTTGAGCTATGAGAGAGTGAGGGTAGCAAGACGCGAGAAGAGAAACATACGGAAAAGTCGAAAAGATGAAGGGTTGGAAGAGCTGCTCTCTCTCTCTCTCTCTCTCTCTCTCTCTCTCTCTCTCTCTCTCTCTCTCTCTTCCCTCTTTTTCAGGTTACCACGAGATAGTTCGTTGCCAAAATTTCTTGATTCGCCGTTCCGGAACAGTGGAACAGTCAGCGGGGACATTCTCTAAGAGTGAGAGAAAGAGGAGAGAAGGGAGAAAGCACGATTTTATCGAATCTCGTGGAATTGCATTCCAGCCACGTAAACGGGAATATCGAGATTCAGATGAACCTCCACCTCGTCCCTCCATTTCGATACGAATCGAGAGTGGTGCAACAAATTCACGATTAACGTTCGTTTCCTGTTTTTTCCTTTTTATTTTTTATCCTCGTTTCCAATAGTCAAATCGACGCGTGGTAATCAAACGATCCTCAGAACTATATTAGATTTTGATTGCCGAGTGCGCCAATCTATATACATAATGTTATGTATAAAACTGAGTTTCATTTTTCAAATATTGATTTTGATTACATTACAAAAACTATTTTTACTGTTGTTAATTTTATATAAAAATGAGTTTGAATAAATTAAATTTTCCATCCATCTCTCAATTCAGTTATATACATAATTCGGTTAGATCGATTCATGAAACCGCATATTTTTTACATTTAAATGTCAGCTCAAAAGTACATATTTCTACTTCTAACTCAGTTGAGAAATAAATTACGGTAACAACTACTACGGTACGCAAACAAATATCCTCCGCTGGACTTTAACATATTAAAAATTCAAAGTTCCATATTACTGAGTTAACTTCGTTTCCCGAAGTTTTCTACACGTTAGTTTTTCCAACTTTTGCCCGTATATGACGATCACACATTTTGTGAAACCGAGCATATTTCTGCAACGCGGAAAATCTATCCTGCGGCCATAAAGTATGTATAAAGCTGAAATTACAATTCGCGATAGACTGGCGCAATTATTCGCTTGCTCGCCGATCAAATTCGCATGATTACGTTTGCAGTGTCGATTCTACTGTTCTCTCTTTCTCTTTCTCTTGATTCGATACCGCAGCAACCAATCGAACGTGCTTCACGGTCGAGTTTACTGGTCTTTAATGATGTTTCGCGAATCATCGAATTGCATTAGTCGGAATAGTGAGCACTTTCGCATCCATTCGATCAAATATACGTTATTTAGCGTTTTATGCTGCGATATATTATAGCGCGTGGCAGGTGTTATATTATAATGATTGTGTTTGATCCGACCATCATGATACAATTTTTTAACGCATCATATTCTGCTATTTTATATATGATTAATTAATTCAGTCTAGATATAATTACTTATTTTAATTTTAATAGTTCTTCTTAATTCTCTATGTATTGTTATTAAAATACAAATAAATAAGAATAGTTTACGTATTAAGATCTGCTTCGGAATTGACTTAGTCGTGTTCGACGTAAACAGCTTATAATTCAGTTCTCTTCGGAAAAAAAACTTTAATATAGTTAGACAGTAATTGAAAGCTTTAGAGAGACAACAAAAAAAAACACAAGATCAATGTTTACAGCTCTCGGATTTCCCTCGAGCTAAATTTATTGAGATATCAGGCAGAAACTGATTGAAGCTTAAGCTAGCTTTTTAATTTTAATCGAGAAATATCTTGATTCACCAATTATTTGTATATCGTATCGGAAATACTGAATGACACGCCAATATCCGCCTCTTTGCTACTTTAATAAGCAAAGATCACGCACGAATCTCACAATTTCCGTTTTCGATTCAAGTTCGAGTATGAGTAGATCAGAAGGACGAAGTCCGAACAAAGTAAAATAAAAGTAAACGACCGTGCACGTGCAAAGTGGAGCAAAAAGAAGCAACCGCGATTGCTAAGGGCTGCGAGTAAGGGTGGAATACAAACAGCCGAAGGGACGAAGGACGGAATTTCTCGGCCAAAGTTTCCGCGCTCTTTTCTTCCATCTATTTTTCTTTCCGATCCCTTTTTCCCGTTTCGCTTCTGTAATTTTCATCTGTATATTTTGTAATTCCAAGACGATGCATATCTGATCTCAGAAAGTGTGTTTATTGTTTATTATGGACATTAAGGACTTTTTCCTTTTCGAACGAGTAAACCAATTCACAAACCGTTGACTAAATTTTAATAGAGAAATTAGTAAAAGTTTTACTACAACGAGAATGTTTTTCAAACAGCATTCATTATTCAAATTTACGAGAAAATAACGACATTTTGTATATGTTATTTTTTTGTATATGTTATTTTGCATATGTTTACGTTATAAATATCGCAATTATGGAAACATGGCAACCACATTTGCAGTCCTCCTTTCTCCTCTGTAGAAGAACAATCAAACAAATTGAACCAATTCTCGCGGATCGGAAACGATCAGAAAACGGTCGCAGGCTTGTGTAATGGCTGCCCTTTCCTGTCGAACATGCAAATTTATCGGCGTTCAAACACTGAAACGCCCAGAGGTGGACAATTTGTGCATTAACGATTCCAATTGCCCGTCGTAGTTATGATTTCCTTTTTTGCGAAATGGAAACCTTTTTCTGTCTTGTTTATGTTATTTTTATCGGAAACTGAACTGTCGCGTGTGATAGTTATCTTTAACACTTGAAATAAGGGAATAAATTTGATATAATTATTAAGAACACTAAAAAATATAGATATCGATTTACACTACCTGCGGTGTTTATATAAGTCTCGTGTTAATTTAAACATCAATAAAATGGAAATTTAATACTATAGATGGATTTAACATCGTAGTTTAACACTTACAGTATTAAGAATGTTAAAAATTATAGAAACACCGAATGGTGTTAATCCACATTTTTTGAATGAAAATAATTATCAACAATTGCAAAATTTAGAGATACAACAAATCAACCTATGTTTCATTTTTCTATTCATACTTAAATCCTAGATATTAAAATTCTTTCGCACAAAGCGTCGCAATTCTCCTGCAGTTAATGTCTCTCGCAATTAAAGTTGAGGCTAAATTAAGTTTCACGAATTTAATTTTCTCGGCTCTAAGATTCATTTCGAGTCGGGATATCGAAAAAATGAGTTGGATCTGCTGTTACAACTGCAAAATTGTTCTCTGAAGTGAGACATTGCATTTTCGCGCAGAGTCCCGCGATTGCATTGTTATCGTCGCGTTCACGCACTGCAATAACAAGGAACGGAACAACCATCGTGCCGATATTATGCGCACAAAGATCACTGCGACTCGCGTTTATATCGGTCTAAGTGCCGTTGATTAAATAAGTGGATCCCACGCGCGGTTGGCGCGGTCGTCGCCATGACTTCCTTCTTCTCTTTCTGCAGCGCGCTTGCGAGTTCTCTTCTCGGTAATTTAACATCCCTCCAATCACAGGGAGGCAACGGGGAATTTTGCAACGTTTCTTCCTCAGTCACGCCCGTCATCTATTTTCCTGCTCCACTTCCGCGTGTCACGAAGCATGCTTAATTATCGTCGAAAACGACATTAACGCCCATTATAATTTTGTGCGATCGATT